TCTCAGGTTCAATTTTTTTTTTTAAAATCAAACTACTTTAAAATTATCCGAAAAAAAATCAAAATTCCTATGTTTTGAGCCAAATTTTAAAGCCAGCATTTGAAGTTAGGTTTCATAACCCTTATATAGGCACCTACTTGATTTTCAAAAGTATTAAAAACTTAACTCCTCCAGCTACCAATAAGAATGGATTGGTGCTTGGCACTTTTTTGGTATCCCAAGACTAATTTAGGAGGCCAAAATTAAGCATCTCCACTTCTTTGGTTTGTTTTAAGTCTTTGCCCTGATATTCATTACAAATAGTGAGTGAAGTTTATTTTGGCTTCCTGAGCCAAAGCAATTTTTAGGAATCTAAAAAAAAGCCAAGAAAAAAAAACTCTTGTAAAATGGAAATCATCATAAAGCTGATCAGTCTTGCCAGAACTACCTCAGAACTTCTGGCTAAATGCTTTAGGTAAGAAACCACTGGGGGTTGGAGGGGGGGGAGCAAATCAAGTTGCCAATAAATATATCTATTTTGTAATCACAGCTCTATAATAACATTACCTGATTTCACACCCAAAACAAGTAAAGGGGTTGCCTACCTCAAATATTTAACAATGCTGTATCTCCTACAGAACTAGAAGGGGCAGAATCAGTTTTAGAAAAAAAATGTTACTTTAAAATCTGGATAGCATACATATGCTGTAATTCCATAATATGTCTGTGTTTAGATTCCCAAGTCTCCTCACATACTACAGCTGGCAGCATACAGGGAAAAAAATTCAAAATCAGTATTTAAACACAAAAGCAAATCCTACTGCTTATTTTCTATAGCAAGACCATCACCACTGACATAAGTTACTATATACTCAACCTTTGCGCTGTTTCAACTGCCTGTTCCCAATCTTGTAAAGCAAGCTGTAGCTTCATTTTCTTTATGAAAGCAGGAAGGAAGTGTGGGAAATTTGCAATTATCTGGTTCACAGTTTCCAAAGCTCCTGAATAATTTTGGCGGATCTCAAAATATTGTGCCTAATGAAAGTTAAAAAAAAAAAAGTCATATCAAAGCCCTGTAGTCTTGCAAAACTGTCAAGAGTCAGGAATATTTTCAGGCAGGACCTGAAAAGCAAAGCAGGGGGAGGACCATAAAAACGTTTAGTAGAAGGAACTTTTCTCCATTACTAATATCTTTCTTCCACATTTCTCCATAGTAAGATACAGAAGGAATAGACAAGTCATAAGTAAGCACCTTTATAAACAAAGGTAACTGTAGCAAAGAACAAGCAGAAGAATTAATTTGAAAAGACTGACAAGAACTATTAGCTCTTTTCAAAAGGTTAAGGAGGAAGCAACTGAAACTATCCTAGTGCTGTTGATCCATTTTAGCCAATCCCCTAAAACTTTCAGTTGTTACCTGGGGTTCCAAGAAGGTTAAAATGTCCTCTTACCACACAAACAAGGAGGGAGAATTGGTGCGTTAGACGACACACTTAATTCTTCTACATACCATGGGTGTTAAGAGGGGAGAAATGTGCATCTGTGCTGAAGATCAACCTCATGTGCCAAACAGGACTCAATGTGAGGTACTAAAGAAATGCATATTAGGCTGCCTTAATGCACAGTAATGAATATGCACAGTTTACATGACATTTAAAGCGCAGCAGCCTAGTTTACTGCACATTAGCATAATTGCATTGTTTGTGATGCTTCAACGCACAGTAAACTACACTACTGCACATCAAAGTGCATGGGTAGACACACCAAGAGTGCCATTAAGAGCACAAAATGAATAATTAAGAGGACCTATGTATGAGATTTTTCTAATTAGTTTTTCCAGCCAGAATAACCTTAGTAATGGTTGCAACTATAACTGATACAAATTTTTTATATCAGATTAAACTGTTGTATTTTTAAATTATGCTACTATCTGGCAGTTGGCACAGTGACTGTGTGATATTAATGAACATCCAATTCAACTAGGATGAGAACAATTTTATTTGTTCGAACGGTTTGAAATTCTTTTCCCAAAATGGAAAAGCTTATTAAATAGATGCATCTACCTAGAAACCATGTGAATGTGTGCCTATTAGGCAGAAAATTATCACTCAACAGCAAATTATTTTGGAAGGAAGAGGTAACATTCTAAACACATGTATTATAGTTTAGTTTATGAATGTAAATAAACATTAATTATATACAAGTTAAAATGAAGATTAGCTTGGGGATTTCAAAACAACGTTCTACCAGGAGAAAAAAGGAAATAAAAAACCCTTCTAACTTATGGATCAAACAAAAATTTAAAGAGTAGAAAACAGATAAACAGAAGTTCATAGTTAAAAGTCCAATACAAATGATCAGCTGATGCAGTGAATTGTGTCCCAATTTTACCCCCTTGTGTCCATATACAGGGAGAGCAAAGACAAATGCCACTGTAAAAACAACAATAATAACCATTTATTTTAGATCTTATTTTAATTATATTAAGCATACTCTGTATTGAATTAAATAGGGTAACTCTTATAAGCCTACACTACATTTTCGTTATTACTTAATAAAACTGATACACTATCTCCCTCTCTAATAGAAAAACTGAGGCAGTAAATACAGAGTTCTAATCTCACCGGTCCACCCCCTCCCCATCACCAGGCAAATCACAGAAAGTTTCCTTGTAGGTTTCCAACACTCCCAAGGCCCAAAGTGCTACCAATAAGATATTTCTATAAAGTATTTTAACAGAATACATTAAACTCACTTTACCCAGCAGGGCAAAAAGATCAATCCCTTCCTGCATTGCTTCATCAAAATATTTCACAGCTTTTTTAATATAGGCTTCTTTTCCACAGGTGACATCAAGCCATGCTTTCAAAATCAATCCCTGTAAAGCAAAATACAAATCAGAGTTAAGTAAGTGTTAAGACATTTCTCATAATGGCAAGCAGAGATAAAAACAGTATCTTATAACATTGCTCTTGAAGCAAGAGCAGGTTAAAAAAATGTTTTAAATCTGACTTTGTTTCTTTTTAAAAGGGAAAATTGTGTCCCATTTTTAAAAAATTTCAAGTTACATTTATGTTTTGGTACATTTCATTAAAATAATTGAAAATTTAAATTAAAAAACATAACATCAAGAGGTACATACTTGCTGCCAAAGTTTCAAACTAAATCATACCAGTGCACTAGGGAAAATTCAATGGGTAAGCACTAGCTAAGCATCTGAAACTAAAGATTGTTGTAGTGAGCGACCAACTTTTAACAGCAGTAGCCACTTCTGCAGATTCCCAAAATATTTTTTTAATTCCAGATAACTGACACTTCAGTTCAGTAGTCACTGATTAATTCAAAGTTGCAAAACTGACCAGGTGTTGGGAAGGGAAAGAAAGCTTGTTTTCCTTAATCAATTATGAATAAAAACTAGGGGCAAGAAGATAGGATCCATTAGTTCTAAAATTGTGAAAGTCATTTCACCCAGCAACGTAGTTTGATTCACTAAGTATGGGGAAGATGTGTTTTTATTTAATATATCAGTTTTAAATGCAGAAGCACTTCTTATGTCTCTAGCACATTTAACAAAAATGTATATAACATTTAAAGAGAAATTTTAAAGTCCTTGTTTCCTGCATTTATGTCCATTCAAATTTTAATCCAAAAGTAAAATGAATCTAGTAAGTAAAAAAAAGCAGAAAGCAAAGCAGTTGACTGGACAGGTGACATATAGCTTAATTTGCAGCTTGCCTACCAAAAATCTTGCCTCTCCGCCCTGTTTTAATCTATTTATGTAGTTATGTACATACATCATGTTCTTCTAGTCAGCAAAAACAACCAATATTTATCATAAAGGCTAGCTGCATATATTTGTAATATCTAAGAATTAGTAGAGGAGTTGTTTAGCCTGGAAACCTTGGTATTTGTTTTGGCTTTACTTTTTTACTTATTTAAATATATGAACACTATCTTTAGTTGAACTCCACCATTCCATACCATTTATAAAATTTACTAAGAAATATTGGATGCTGACTAACATATTCAAATTACAATTTAAAAAAAAAGTTATAATTTCTCAGCTTCAAAGGTTTGCTGGAAAGTCCCCCAAAAATAACGCAAATGGCATTTTTTAGGAAAACACATTTATACCCAAAACCAGAAGCTTCCTATCTATTTATTTTGCACAGAAACATATCGATTTAGCTGTAATAGTATTTCTGCCAGCGACTTCATATCTTGCTTTTCAGATAATAAAATCTAGTTCTTAATGGAGTTAGAAGTCCTGTGCTTCCCACAACATAATGCCTCCCCTTTGGCATTACAGTATATGAAATAAAATGAAAGATCATTCCATGTAGCAAGGGGATAGAAAATCTAGTTTTAAGACACAAATATTCTTATTTTATATAGAAAGAAATAAAACACCAGTTACCTCTTTATCTCCATTAGAAACTTTGATCATTCTATCAACATATTCACGAGCTTTGTCCTGGCGGCCGAGGTGCCACAAAAACAAACCTGCAAAGTACAAAGCCTGCTGTCCTGCTGTCTTACGATATTCCTTCATTTTGGCATCCAGTTCCAGAATAGCATCTCGATCTGAAATCAATTAATAACAGCAGGAATTGTTCAAGAAATGTTGGCACATTTCCAAACGGTAAGTTATGGTACAATAATTATGGGACAAAGTATCTCATTCCCAGCTGGTTGGCAGTTCTAAACATGCCAGCCTGAAGCAGACTCAAACACAAGCGTAACGTGTGCATTAATAAGGTCCTAAGGTAATGCTTTTGTTAAAAAAAATGCAGACTGTTTTGCCAGGGTTCATGTTCCTATCAGTATCTAGCTAGTAACCAAATGGTAATTTGGCAGCAACAAGTGCTAGATGACAGACAAGAGGGCTACCAGGAGGGTTCAGTATTCAGTGTAACATCTGGAGAAAGAAGAAGGGCATTTTTTAAACCAAGGATACTTTTACAGAAAAAAATCTTACCCTCCCAAGCAAGATGCTCTATAACATGCTACACTGTCCTGCAAGATGTATCCCCTGAACTGAAAACAGCATAGCCCAAGTCATAAATGTTTATTAGTATGGCAAAGCAACAGTGTGCATCTCAGATCTCTGTATTTTATTTTTTAAAACATTTCTATTTATCCTATTTTTATACTGAATTTCTGTATATATATTTTTGTCACGGTTTACCTAATTATACTATTAGATGTTCCAGTTATATGCAAGGGAAGTATGTGGGGGGGGTTTTGTTTAAGAGTCAATTATACTTCTCAGTTTACACTGTAGGTAGATCTCTTAACTGTAAACATCCTAAACTTGGCAAAACACAAGAGGGCAGTGGGATTTCAACAAACACACCTGGATTAGAGCTCTTCTTGTGGGCATAGATGAGTGCCATCATTGTGCAAAGTGACACCTCTTGTTTGTTTTTAATATGTTCAAACTCCCGAATAGCCTCTTGAATTTGACCTACAAAAAAAGAACCACCAAATAATACACTATAGTTTCTCTTAACAACTTAAAAACACCAGCCCTTTGCAAAAGTACTTAGCAACCTTGTTATTGCAACAATTAATTCTATTTCTAGGACTACATCAGAAAGAATGGAGTTTTTTCCCTCCAATCTATTTTGTACAGTTAACAGCACTTTGCATATAGTAAAGCAGGGAAAATAAATGAAGTTTAAGTCTTCCACACAGCAGAGAAAATAAGTGGGGTTTTGCCTTGCTCTAGGAGACACCAAGGGGAGGACGTTCAAGGACAAATTCACGGACTCAAACTATTTTGTTACACTTCATTTTCAAAAACATATCGAATAAGGAGTACAGGTTTCCCTCGCTTTATGCTGTATATACGTTCCTGGAATATGGCGCATAACTCAAATCAGGGAACCTGCTTTACAATGTAACAAATAAGGATATGTTTCAAGACCCTGACTGTACTGACCTTCAGGCCATTTCTACCACTTTTAAAAGACAATTTTGGTACTCACCAACAGCAGACAGTACACATAAGCACAGGGCACTATCATAATGGGGATGGCAACTACAGAAACACATCACAGACAACGAGCGAGAAGCAAAGGTCCACACAGGAGACCATATTTTGGTGCATGTCTCTCCCACAGTGCACTGTACAAAGCAGCTGACTGCAGGCTTCCACCACACCAAAGGGACTTTTACCTTGCATATAACCTTGCATAAATTTTTGGTATAAAAAGGATCATTGCATAAGAGCAAATTCACACATACAGAACCTGTATAAAGCATGGGAAACCTGTAGCGTAAACAAACCGCAAAAATACAGGATTTAAGCCACAAAAAGACAGTCTTCCTGGACTTTCAGAAGGCCTTCAACACTCTCTCTCACCCTGTTCTCATTAAGAAACTGGGGGACTGTGGTGTTGACACCCACACAGTCAATTGGGTCACCAATTGCCTGGAGGGCCACACCCAGAGAGTGGTGGTGGATGGGTCATTTTCGATCTCGAGGGATGTGGGCAGTGGGGTTTCTGCAGGGCTCAGTCCTCAGGCCCTCACTGTTCAACATCTTCATCAGTGACTTGGACGAGGGGGTAAAAAGCACCCTGGTCAAATTTGCTGATGACACTAAGATGTGGGGGGATGTGGGCACACTAGAAGGGAGCAATAGGCTACAATTGGACCTAGACAGGTTACAAGGGTGGGCGGATGAAAATAGGATGGGATTCAACACTGACAAGTGCAAGGTGATGCACCTGGGGAGGAACAACCAGCACCATACCTAC